TTCATCCGGGAGGGGAGCCAAAAATGGACGAGAAGGCATTCATGTATATATACATAGTTATATATATAAACTTATAATGTAAATTCACCATCATGACGGGGAAATCAATTTTCACAAAGGGGGGAATGGGGAAGGGGGAAGAAAATAAATAATAAATTAATCAATGAATTTAAAATAATAGGCTCAATTTATCAACAATATATATTTATATATATATTTATACCGATCAATCTTGAAAAATCAAAATATCCAAAAAAAAAAAAAAAATAAATAAATAAATAAATAAATAAATAAAATAAAATAAAATAAAAAACTAAGCGCACGCACTCAATCTCAATTCAGTTTATCTGGTTACTAACACCGGGGAAAGCAAAAGGAGAGGACTAAGGTAAGCAAAACAAGAAAGGGAGGGGACAAGCAAAGCGACAAAAAAGATACAATAAACTAAGAGAAAGGGGGAGTCTCGTTTCAATCATCAGGGGGTTGGGTGGAAATTTTTCAAATAAAATCACATCAAGAAAGTTGGAGAAAGTTTGAAAAACTTCCTGGTATCAAAATCACGCAGGGTTCGGTTCTATCAAAAGTGAATTCGCCGTTCCCGCGCCAGCTCCGAAAAATAACTTTCCAGCAAACGGAAAATAAGGGACAGGAGATAAAAAATTATATAATTGGTGAAAAGAATAGAACAGACCTAAGACGGCGGATGCGGATATATTTGCATCCTTCTTAACCTGCATGTGGCTCATGTCTCAGCTTGGTCAGGAGTTGTAAGAATGAGAAACTAGAAAAATGGAGGAAGGCGGATAGGAAACAAGAGAAGGGAGGGAAGGGGGGGATATAATTGAATAGGTAGTAGGTAGCTGAGAAGAAAAGGAGGTTAAGTGAGTATATAAACATGGTAAAATTGGAGTGAAAAAAAGAAAAGATAAAAAGAAGCTAGATATCGAATGAGATTCAGGGGAAAGTAGTCATAGAAATAAAATAAAGGATATAAAAAGATATGAACGGACAAAATAATAATAACTGTAAACGAATGGAGGAGTGGGAATATAAATAAAATAACTCGGAGGGAATATGAGAATTGAATTGCACAAGCGTCACCGAGGGATACATATCATTAGGAAGACCCCCTTACATTCACAAAGTAGAAATAAAATAAATAAATGCAGGAACTTACAAAACATAGATTAAAAAAGAGAGAGGAGTGTGGAAGGAAAAAAACAAAAAGGGGGAGCGGATTCATAAAGGGGACCGTTAGAGGTTGGGGGGAGCATAATTCATATCACATCACATAGTACGTAGATATCGTGATAAAATAAAGGGAGTTAATGCATTGAGAACAAGACATAAAGATATATAAAGGCTCAGAGGGTGGTAAACGTGGTAAATGTGGTATCGCGAACTGGTCTTGTCGTTTAAAAAGGTGACACAAAATGGCTCTCTCAGGTATAAATCGTGTTATAGAAAGACTAAGTTGAGTGGTTCAAGCGGTATAGCTATGAAACAAGAACGGACGGAGGGGAAGTCAATAATTTAAAGAAGAAATATAATAAGATAGTTGTTCAGGGTTTTAATCGAAATAGATATATTACATTCGCACTCTCGGGTTGTATCGAATGTATTATGATCATTTCGAGTATGGTTTGTTCATGAGAGCTATCTCGCGTGCGATGGTTGCCCATTCTAGATCTCGGCGGATTGGTTCGTGGCGCTTTTGCTGGAGGAGTTCGTCCCATTTGAGGAGCTCGTAGCTGGATGGACAGTATTATTAGTATGAGGTTTGTGGGATGGTGGATGGCCGGATTGGACCGATGATGGGAAAAAAAGGATGGAAAAGAAAATATGCAGTACTAACACAAACCGCAAGTGTGGTTGGATGATGACGTTTAGACGCCGGGCACGAACGAAGCAACTGTATTTGGAATGGTTAGATTAATGTGTCCGTCTCAAATACAAGCTGGCTGGTGGAAAGATCCATCTCGTGGTTACATACTATGCCCTAGGAAACGACAACCCCTTACAAGCCATCACTTGCGCAATACAAATCGTAGCAGATCTCGAAACCCCAACGCGGCAATGCACCAACGTTGCAGTACCATCCTGTTTTCCTTTCTCTAAACAAATGCACACCAAATGAATTAGTGTCACGAGCGGAAAGGAGGAAAATCGGGCGAAACAAATGATATCAATGGTTTTGCATCAACACGACTTACCAATAAACTGTAGACAACGATCAAATTGCTGGGTCAAAGGATCTATGCCATTATCCTGCACTTCGTTTATCATCATCAAATTTTCCGGGTCCCATTTTCCAGTCTCTGACGGTCGCCATGAGACAGATTCTCCAATGCTAAGTATACGTCTAATGCCTAAGTTGCGGAGGAGCTCCGGATTGTTAGCATGAGTTAAATTTCCCAGGTACATATATGGTAGGATGCGGCTTGGCAAAGACTCATCCATTTTCAAGAGCCAATCCGGTTCGAGGCTTTTCGGGATGCTGCGATTACGGGCGGCGGGGCTTTCGGACAGAAGCTTTTGTTGGATGACAGCTAAGAATGCGACGTCTCGAGGGATAAGCGAAAAAGTTTCCGCTTTTTCTCGCAGTGTAGCCTTAACCACGCCTCATCCAATGAACTCTCTCCGCAAACATGAAGTAAGCAATGGCTAGGAGAGAGCTTTCAGTGTACC